TGGTATAATGAATAGTAGTTTGGAATGAGAAATCGGAGAGCCGAGTTCCAATTCTATTCAGGTTCGTTATATTCACTTATACGCAAATACCCTTGGGAAAGGTATGAATCCATCTCTTGCCCCCAGCTATGGGTTAGATAGTCGAAATTGTATCTGAAAAATCATTATTATTTTCAAAAAATTGATAATACAATATTTACATGCAAAAAAAAAATTATTCTTACAATCCCCCAAAATATGTTTCCGCTTTAAATAACTAACAAAGGGTTGATAAGCCGTAAAAAAACAAATCAACCAATCAAAATAGTTGCAAATTTCTCCTCAGGGCTAGAAGGGAAAACTGATTTTTCAAGGCAAAGACTACTTCTTAAATCTTAACTTAGTCTGGTACAAGGTGACACGTTAAGGACATCAAGTAAGCATTGGATTTACAATAATAATAATAATAATAATAATAATAATGCGCTTGGTTAGATCTCTTACTTACCTATTGCATCACGTCAAAGCACCCGACTGGGGTCTATCTCGTTTTCTCGCCGACATAACTAATTACATATTTGTTCGAGATCTTGCTTTCTAAAGATATCAGTACGTTTCAATTTATTTATTTAATTATGTTTTCGTCTCTATAGAATTCTTACTATCAATTTCAATATCAACTTTCTTTCCGACATGTCTTATTTTTATTGTACATTTCTCCAACCATAATCTCTTTTCCCCAACATTTAATCAATTATTTCATCTTTTCTACACTTCCTGTTTTCCTTTTATGATTTCTTTCCTCTTCATTGTTCCTCCCATCCAACCAGATTTATTGATTTCTTACTTACGATTCTTATTCGTCCGTTGTCGTATTTCTTTCATTCTAAACTCTTTCTCCTATTTTTCTTTCTCTCCTCATTCTTTCTTTGCTTTATCTTATTCTTTACACTCGAACGTCGTTTTCTTCTATTTTTCTTCCTGTTTTCATTCATTCTTGTCTTAATTTCCTTCATTCCAATCTCTCTTCTAGTTTTCTTACGGCTTTCATTTTTTAATTATTTTATTTTCATTCCAACTTCCCTTTCTTCTATTTTTCTGATGCTTTCTTGCTTTAAACGTCTTATTTTCCTTCTATTCTATTGCTTACAGTTTCGGTTTTATTTCTTTGTTTTATTTCTTTGTTTTCCTTCATTCTACCTTTGTTTTTGTTTATCTTTACTCTCAAATCCTTAATTTTCTCTAATGTTTTCATTTTTCTTTCTTTCTATCTTTCTCAACCTCTCTTTTTTTTTTCAATCCTGTATATTGTATGTCTCTAACGACTTTCATTAGTAGCTAAGGCTGTTATGATCGGCCGGCTTAATGATTTTTAGAAAACTGTATTTACACGGGCCAGAGTGTACTTCGTAAGGGGCCCAAGAAATCGATTGCAGCCAGCAAAAGAACGACAAAGCGGTGAGCAAATATGGAATCCATGCGGTCTAAGTAAAAAGAATTCGAAGTGCAGTAGATACAATTTTTGCTGGCACTTTCTGGTTTCTTACAGTGAAAGCCATTTTCTCATCGGAAAGTATCACTAAAGACACAAACAGCCAGTCTGTTCATTTACAGCTAGAAGCCACCCTAGAGAACAGAAATAATTAAAATCCTATAGGAATATTGAAATTTAATCGAAGACGACTGACCAGATCTAGCCATTAAAAGACATTCGAGGGAAGTGATGAATTGAATGAAAGCGGTGATAAATAGCTACGCTTTGACAGAAAACTTAAAACAAATTCGTAGAATATGAAGGTGAAATTACGTCTTCAGAATAACTGCGAATGTTTAATTTCGTTTGTTATAATCATGAAAATACTTCCTACCTACCTACTCACTATTCCAAAACTAATCAGCTGCACTCAGTTACTATGGAATCAACAATGCCGTGAATTTGATCCTCACCAAGTGCTTGATAGTTGTCAACATGAACAAAACTAAGCGACGAAGCCAACCATAAAATGAGCGTGAAAAACCTACTCTTGTTAGATCATTGGATTAGCTTCGCAAATATCCTGTTCAGTAAAGTTCTGAGTTCGATCCACATTAGATTCACCTCTAAAATAATAATAATAGTAATAATAATACGCTACAGAAAAAGAGCTTCGTAAATATCTCGTTCGGCTGTGCACGTAACGTAGCGGTTGTTGACCCGGAAATCAGGATCAGCATGCCGAGTTCAAATCCCATTCGATACTGTTGCGTTCACGATAACGAGTCCCGTATCCTATTTGAGTCGTCAGAGCACCGCATGTACCGAAGCTGCAGTAGCAGTGTACAAGATAGCCTCCCCAGACTGGTTTGAATTCAGAGTTTTCATTCTCCTAGACTAGTCGCCAACCAAGGCTATAGGACCCACTCTGTCCTACTATTTATCCATAGCTGGGTGGAAGAGATGGAGTCATACATTATCCTGGAATTCGGACTTGGCTCTTCGATTCCTCAATCTGAGCCGCTAACCATTACTCCACTGTGCCTCCGTTGCGTTTGCATTCACACATATGCCATTGGAAAAGTATGAATATTTCTTACCCACTCCACAGATGTTAATAGCAAGGAAGATTGGGCTCTCCAGCCTTGGTTGGTAACCAGTCTAGAAGGACTACGCTAAATGCAAAACTCCTATAAAAAAAAACTTTTTGCTACAGTAATTGCACCAGCAATACCACTTATGTAAGAGTTCTGGCCGTATACTCCATTGGGGAGCACAAGACTAATATATAAATATTTAGTTCGCAAGCGTAGTGAGTTTGAACCACACAAGGTGCTCTACTAAAATGGCCCTGTGCAGAAGTAAAATCAATAAATATCATGTCTTCAACTAGAAATATCACAGCGAGTCCATCACTTTCAATATTAAATGTCAAGCCACAAAGGACAACTGAATTGCATGCAGAACGTCTGATTCGTTTAATAGTAATAGTAGTTCAGTACTTGTAATGCGTGACGTAAACGGTTGGTAGCTAAGGAAACGCATAAAATTGGTCGATTGTGTTGGCGTTTCGTTTGTATCTACCGCGATGTCGTTGGTCAGAAACCAAAGGGGTACAAGTGGTTTGCAAGTCCTTTTTCTCCAGTCACAACAAACAAAAGGAACAACAGAGTCTGTGACATGATTCGCCAACGAAAAAAGGATTGGTCATCGTCAAGAGAATCGCTACTCTTTTATGAAGAACTATTGATTTTTTTTTTCAAAGAATATGAATCATCATATATAATACGATAGATGATAATGATGATAATAATAATATTTTTCTGTATTTTTCTTTGTTCTTTTGTCCATAAAACTAACAAATGAATCCCGCACCGACCTTGAGGCAAACAGAAAAATGGCATATACTACGCTATGCTAGCGTTCTGCAGCTTGAACAGCACAGTAAAATTAATTTGCAAATACTAAGTTAAGCAGACCTTTCAAATACAACAGTGACGTATAGGTAGAACTCAGAGAAACAAATTTTGATCATGGGCAAAGCGCACAGGTACTACACTGATCATAAGCACAAGTACCAATCCATACGTAAATAACATCGCCAATTTTTACGGTTCTCCATTAAAGACGTCCAGAAAATACCTCTTTCAAAATATTCTTAAATTTGCATTGAAATGTTTATCCTTTTGTCAAACCAGACCTCTAATCCATCATGGATGTCCATTGATATTTAAAAAGCTTCCATTTTCTCTATACTATTTCCAAGAATATCACTTATTCTTTAAAAAAAAAATGAAGCAACGTCCATCAAAGACAAGCTTGAAAGGTGTAGAACGTGAGTTCAAGTTTCGTTGAAAGTTTCCGACTTCTTGTAGTCAAACAAAGAGCATCTCGATCTAATAAAAAAAATACTAATAACTAGGTATCTAAAAACTAATGATAAAATAACAGTAATAATGAAGAGTGTACTGACTTATCATATTAGGATGAAAAGGAACAATAATAAGATGGAATAAAACTAGTAATAAAATAATAGTAATAATAAAGATTGTACTGACCTATCAAGATGAAAAGGAACAATAAGATGGGATAAAACTAGAAATAAAATAATAGTAATAATGAAGAGTATTTGAGCTACAGTGTTGAGATAAAATGCTACAATAAGATGAAGAAAAACTCATACGAACTAGCAGATTTAACTAAGAATCTATCAATCCAGAACGTTTTAATAAAAAGCGATAAGATAGTATAAAACTAGTAATAAAATAATGAAAACTGCATCTTATTCAGCAATAGTTTTTTATTTATATTTGAATGTTTTTATTTTCCTGAAAAAATTGTTTCACCAGAATAACTGTTGATTCATTTTTTATGGCTTATCAACCCTTTGTCGGTTATTTAAAACCGAAACATACTTAGACTTGTAAGAGTTGTTTACAGTGTCCGGTTAGCTAAAACAATCCCATTGCACCTATAAAGTGTAATTATGTGGTAACAGTTCAACAAAACTCGTTTAGGTCATAAATTATACACCTAACATGATGGGATTTTAAAAATGTAATCTGAATAAAGAATTACCAAAACATGACATCATTAAAAAAAAATCCTCTGTAGAATAGAATATCCCAAAGTATTATTAGTGCATTTATTAAACTGTATTTAGTCTGACACAAGGCTACAAGTGTGGAGTACCTAGTGAGGATCAAACTCCTTAAACCAATAATGGTTTGTGAAAGTTCCTTGATAGATTTATGCTATTTTACAGATACACAAATATATCGATTGTTTTGTAGATTGTATAGTACCCATTTTCTGCAGGAAATATGAATTCAAAATTGACTTTTTTGGTCCGGGATCGAACAGCGAATAATGGCAGAGGTAAATTAGGAGAACAATAAAAATCTATCGTAAACCAATGTTGTGATCGTATTGTTTTCGGGGTCTATTTCCTGTAGGATCTGCGTTATAACAAGAATTATACTAAGAAAGTTTTTAACTAAAAAAATGTACACTATAGTTATCAGAACAATTACCTACCACAGCTTCGTTAAGATAGATAGAAAAAGCTTTGAGACGGAAAAATAGATATGAACAGACTGAAATAGAGATAGATAGATAGATAGATAGATAGATAGATAGATAGATAGATAGATAGATAGATATGAATAATTACTAAGTTCACTCTAGCCCTGAACGAAATAAAATCAGGATAACTGTTTGGTAGAAATATCATTTGCCCGGTTACTCGTGCTAGTAAACATCTCAAGGCGAAGTTTAGTACACGTATCAACTGCAGAGGGGATCAGACCCCACAAAAACGCACTACCTTCTGGGTAGATACTTACAGATTCAGACAACTATCTATCTTTTGACTCCAGCGTAAACTAGACCATTGTCTATCTGTTTTACTCAAGTGTAAGCCAGGGGGGGGGGCGTAGGCTGCTATATATTGATTTGTGCTCTTTTTTTCCATTTGTCGTATTGCTCGTCAACCTGATTCTTTGCTGATCTGTCCTATGCCTCCGTCGTTTTGGGTGACAAGGCTGTAAAACCGTTCTTTTATTACTAAAAACAATGTACCTATCACAATGGACTGTTATTTGAACTCACATTTTGATTGACACTTTCCGCTCGATGATTTGCATCACTAATCCGATTGGTTCTGTTGAGAGTCACGTGATGCAGCAGATCCCCGTGGAGTTGCCAATTAATCGTCAGATTGAATTGACCAACGAAATGTCATCTGTCGCGGACCTTGCCGCTGAGAAACCTTAGCGAACTGTACATCTTCCTTTCTCACCTGTTCGCTTGATTTTTTTGTCCTTGATTTTTGTCGTCTTTGCAACATTCGGTTCGTTTTTTCGGCTGAATTTTAAGGCTAATAACAACAAAAAAAACAGAATGAGTTGATTAGTCGCTAATTTGTTTCTTAATAGCAGCGAAATTTTATTAAACATGAAAAGAAAACTGTTCCGCTAAATGAAGACTACGCCTAATGCTAGTTGGAACTTTTGGAACTCATAAGGATAAAATTGGGTTAAAGAATTTGAAAGTCACAGGATAGATCGAAGGCAAGAGAAACAGAGGGAAGAAGCAAGCAGGTCTGTGCTAATGAACAGAGGAAAGAGTATTACAAAAAGAAAGATGGGTCATAAAATAAAACGTATTGCTGAGAGTAACAAGACAGGAAGCTGTGGAGAGCTATGATCACGCACGTACTGAAAGGATATGGGCCATAAAGAGATAAAATACAATTTCCTTTCATAAGAGGTGGAGGTGAACCAACGGTTAACAAAGTGTAAAATAGAAAAAGTCGAGCCGAGTTCAAATTCCAGCTGGGGCAGATTGTCCTCTTGAAAATACATAAATCCACCTCTTCTCCCTCATCTTCTGCGTTAAATATTAGAGCAGGCTCGTTTCTCTAGAGTTGGTTGATAACCAGCTTAGGAGATGGATAAAGTTTAAAAAATGAACTAGAATAATTAAAAACAAAGAAAGAAAATAAATAAATATACGAAATAATCGATAATTTTCAATATTACGATGTTTTGTTAAAAACTATGAAGTAGACAACGAGAAATCACTTCACTATCTTTTCTAAGAACATTGTATCGTGCAGTTTACAGCTAATAAAATAAAAAAGAATATGTGGAGAATAATGACCACCTACATCCTGAAGAGACAAAGCAATTAAGTATATCCGACAATGCTGAGAAGAATGGCAAATAGCTATACTATCATTTCCCTTTTATTTGATCGGATACATGTTAGCATTTTCAGAGGATTGAAATCCGAAGGTATATTAGGATAGCAAAAAGTGTCTTCCAAAAGCTAAGCAAAGTATTAAGAAACAGAAAAAATCGTTAGAAACAAAGAAAAGTGTACTAAACCGTTATATAATAACAGTCCTACTATATAACAGTGACTATGGCAGTGAATGATGGACAATCACCTCACAGATGATGAAGAGACTTGAAGTAAGAGAAATATGGTTCTACAGAAGGATGTGGAGCAACGACGGATTTTTAGAGAAAATGGAAGCAAAAACTCACTTATACTTAACATCAGGAAGAGACCGCTGAAATTTGTAGGGCACATAAAGAGGAGAGAAGGCTTGGAAAATTTGATACTCACAGCAAGAGGGACAGAGGAAAACAACGCATAACCTACTTAGCAAACTCGAGTAAATGGATGGCAGACCAAGGTTTACGGTAGATAATAAAAAGACAACATTTATTAAGAGCTACAAAGGACAGGAAGTTGTGGAGATCTGTGATCGCCAACGTCCTGGAGGGACACGGCACATAGAAGAACAACAACGACAATTTAGCATACTACTGACATGAAGAAATAAGTATCGCTTGCGTTGTAAACGATCTGGATACTCACGCATACATAGGAACACGGATCATAACAATATTCTTTTGTGCGCCGGGTACCTCCAGGACGTGTGCGATCATGGCTCTCCACAACACCCTGTCTTGACCCTTTGACGTTTGACACTTTACCGCCTATTCATGCTAACTCGTCGGTAGGTTACTCGCTGCTAGTTCCCCCGGTCCTTTAAAATTCATATGCTCTTTGAGTGTTAAAGTCTCCGAGCCTTTTTTCCTCGTACGTTCTATTTTTTTTTTTTTTTTTTGTTCTTTTAGTAAAGTGATTGTGGCAAACAGAGAGATTTTTAGATAGGAATAAACAAAGATACACAGGGAGAAAGGGAGAGGAAGAAAAGATATTGATGTACATATGAACAGACTGAGATAGATAGATAGATAGATAGATAGATAGATAGATAGATAGATAGATAGATAGAAATGTCTTTGTTCTGGGTTTTCCATACTCTGCCAATGAATTGGATAGTGATTCAAGGCAATTCGTAGACAGTGATGAAAATCGCAAAAGCAATGTCTGTCCAGAAGTGACTGACGAGATATCACGCGCATAATTTTTTGTTGTGTCTTATTATTATTACTCTTATTATTATTAGTAGTAGTAGTAGTAGTAGTAGTAGTAGTAGTATTTCGCTTATTTTCTGACGGAAGTCCGTTCTGTGTGTAGCTAGCTCAACCACCTTCAAAGCAGGCTGGTCATCGATTTGACCACAACCTCCAGATTATGCATCTAGTTTGAGATAATAGCAACAAAAAATAGCGCATGCTTCGGTCAACGTGACGATTTCAGTCCTAATACCAGAAACCCAAAGCAGTAGCAGACGAGAGAGAAAGATCATTTGTGAAGAAGACGTCTACGCATGCGCGCGACACCAGTTTAGTTGCATCAACAGTTGTATCGAGCTGAACGAGAAGTCAGAGGAGAAAGAAAAATGGAGTCGAGACGAGGAGGAATGAAATGAAACGAGTGTTTTAGCAAGAAGCGAAAGAGCTGAGGACGTGTAGGGCAATAAAGACTGAAATGGTGGAATGCAGCAAAACCAACAAGCAGATGAAGTAGCGTCAGTTTTAGTGCTAACTGTAGCTGAATTTGCAACGGTACTGGAAAGCGAATAGGAGCCTGTTGCTAGCTGTATTCACAAAATGCCACCATCGTTGCTATTATTATTGTTAATATTATAACAAGCTATTGCCTTTTGAACAATGGTAGACGTTGCTGCTAAATTCAGTCTCTAAGTACAATCAAACAGATAAAACGGTAATGAACAAACTGAGATAGATAGATAGATAGATAGATAGATAGATAGATAGATAGATAGATAGATAGATAGATAGATAGATAGATAGATAGATAGATAAGGAACAGAGTGAGACAGATAAATAGATAGATATGAAAAGACTGAGATAGATAGATAGATAGATAGATAGATAGATAGATAGATAGATAGATAGATAGATAGATTTTCTATGTGCGGTGTCCCTTCAAAACGTGAGCAGTCATGGCTCTCTACAATTTTCTATCCCGTGTGACTCTTGGTAACGTTTATCTTTTTGCCAATCTTCTCACATCCCCGTTTCGCCATCCATTAACATAAGCTCGTCAATTTTAATTTCAACATATGCTGTAAGTGCCAAATTCTCCAAGCCCTCCGTCCTCATTATGTGTCCAAGAAACTTCAGCTGTACTTTCTGATTCCAAGTATCTTTTTTGTTTACATTTTTCTTGAAACTTCTTCATTGCTTACGCACTCCCTCTGTGGTATTATCAGCATCCTTCGGTAGAACCAGGTTTCTGTTGCCTCAAGTCTCTTCTTCATCTGTGAGGAAATTGTTCAGTATTCACTGCCAATATAATAGTATTTCAGTATTCTTTTCTTTGTTTCTAATGCAAATTTTTAGGACTAAGATAGACCTTTGCACTTGTAACTATATGTGTCAGTCACTTTCCCGGCGCCGTAATGTGGCTTCCCTGTGTCTTTTCCTACGAATATTGTCATGGTAATTGTTCTAATGAGATCGCCTCGGTACCTCAACTACGTGAATTTAAACGTACTACTAGATTGGCAAATAGTTTTATTGTTGAATTAGCTAGAACGTAACCATAAGTTCTATTGTAATAGTTCATTTTCTCGTACTTCTCGCCTGTAGAACTCCCTTTCGCTTTCTTGCTTCCCTGTCATTTAGGATCTTCAAAAATTTAAGTACATCATCAATTTCTCTCTTCTTTTTCTTTCACCTCACCTTTCTTATTTTCTTTCATTCTCATTAACCCCTTGCGTCATCGTGGCATTATCACCTTGCTTCGAAATGAAGTGATTAAAAAGAATTATAAATTATACAGGGTATTCCAAAAGTCACCAAGGGGTCTGACAGCTTAATAACTTTTTTGTTTATTAACACTTTTTAGTTTTTCTTTTTTTTTCAAGCATTTCATAAAGGTGGCTTTGGAAATTAATCATGTCAAAATACACGACTGAAAATCGAACACTAGTAATGAAATCTTTCTACCAAAACCAAGGATCAATAGTTCAAACACAACAAACATATCGTCGCCATTACGGTGTGAGAGATTCTCCAAGTCTTGCGAGTAAAGGTTCAGTAAGTGACCTTCGACGAAGTTGCATACCACGTTTGGTTAGGAACGAATGAGTATTTGAGCGAGTAATGGAGAGAGAGTATTGATGAAAATCCTAGAGCATCAACTCGAAGGCGGTCTCGACAGGTTTGGATATCTCGGACGTCACTCCGACAAATTTTTAAATGAACCAACTTGTTTTCGTACAAGATGAGGCAACAACCCTGCTTCTGGGGCAATTTTTTGGTGTGGTTGGGGGAGAATAATTTATTGACATTGTGGCATAAACTCGCCACCTTGTTCTTCGGATCTGACAAACTCTAAGTTCTTTCTTTATGACTATCTCAAAAAAAGCAAGCTTCAGACTCTTCCACAACTGAAGGACAACATACAGGCAAACATCAAAGCACTAGAGCCTGATACGCTGAGGGCTGTGTCGGAAGATGCCTTAGAAAGAACTCCTTTGTGCGAATTTCTATTAAATTTTTATATACTAAAATTCGATTAGTGCGTACATAATACTCGATTAGTGAGGTAAAACATTCTTCAGATTAATCATAGTAATTAAAAATCATAGTAATTGAAAATTGATTTTTTTATTGTTACCGATTAATTAAAAATTTTCTAAAATTTAAAAATGGAAAATGGGTAACTATTTTCTTTGTCAAGTATTACGTTATCTAAGTAATTACAACAATGTTAAAAAATGAACGTTTAGATAATAGATAAATTTTATAGCATAATCCGATAATAAACATAATAATTTGAATATTTGCCTCTATTAATTTTTTTTATTATTTTGATTTTTTTTTTTCATGTTTATTTTGAAGGTTTTAAAAGGAAATTCTGAATTTTTGTTAAAAATATGGACGATTTAATTTGATGTAGAAATTTACATTTATTAAAAAATATCGAAATATAAATGATGTATGCATTTACTACGAAAAGATTATAAATAAAATTTTCAGGTTAAAATACTAATGATTATATGGTTGAAAAATTTGAAGAGGCAATTTTTCAGTACTGCCAATGAAAAACAGAAGAATACCATGCGGCAAACAATTGTAAATAAATTTTTTTTTAAATCAGATTAATAAACAGAAATTCATAACATTTTTATTGTATCATCTTATATGCATCTATGTTCTAATTTAAAAATGAATTGTAAAAGCGACTAAAATTTGAGGTACAAATTACATCATTTCCTATAAATTATTATATTCGATTAATGCGTTTTCGATTAGTGCGTATCTTTTAATGAACACATTAACCGCACTAATCGAGGGATTCCTGTATTCTCTTATATGAATTCTGTCATAGGAGTACTTCTCCATGGTGTAATGATTAGCAAGCTAGTGTAACAAGCCATTAATATATTCAATCCTAACTTGGTACCCCACATATCTGACTTTGTGCCATACTAAAAGAAGCGTAATAAATACCATTGAGTTAACAGTGGGGGCATTGATTCTCAAGCCAATCTATGATTACAGCTATGTATTGTGCTCGGTCTTCATTGGATGACATACGCTAGCGATAACTAGTGAATAGCATTTTCGAAGACTTAACTCCCGACTCCATATTTTGCAAATATAACTCCACTCAGAGTTAAGAGAAATCAAGTGAATTTATTAAGAGATATCAGATCTAGTTTAATATGCGTTGCATGAAAAAAGTTTATTTTTTTACATGAAATTCTGTTCTATTTTATAGCCCGTTACATAATCTAATCTGAACACAGAAGATACATTTTAAATAACAACACACGAAATGTGTCGGTTGTTCACCGTAACAAAATGGGCCACAGTTTTGACATAGGGAATACTACTTTGATTAAAAGAGAAAATAATCCACTGAGACGAAAATGCCTGGAAAGTGTTTTGATCGCTAGTTCAGGCACAATAAATTTGCTGTCCAGGCTCTTACAATATCTTACAATATATCACCATTCTTGGTAGATTTTATATTGTCACAGTGTAGGATAGTCAGGTACAAAGACGATGATGAGAAAAAGAATACAGATTGAAAAAATATATTCTTGTTTCGTGCGCTTGTGTAGACGAGGCAAAGTCAACAAAGCCCAGTCCGATGAAATCCTAAGGGATGTATCGCGCTACTAAAACAGATTCCAGTTTGTCATATTTTTCTAAATAATCTAATCTGAAATTCTTGCAGCAAGCTTTTTAGAATTTTTTTCCGTTATGGAAAGGAATTTGCATAAAAATTTTAATAACTAGAATAAAAGTTTCTAAGTATTTAGTTTCCTGAAATGTTAATATATATATATGTGTGTGTGTGTGTGTGTGTGTGTGTGTGTGTGTGTGTGTGTGTGTTAAATATCATGATTTTCATTGAGTATGCCTAAATTCCTATTTAAACCTAGAACCTGGGAATTTATTTTAAAAATACACTTTAAAAGGCAAGCTCAGTGAATATAGTACCCACAAAAAGCCTTCTAAAAACCTCTACAAACCTAATTATGGTAAGCAATTAGATCAAAACTGCTAGAGTTCTTGAGTAATATAACATTTGCAGAAAAAAAACTCTGCCAGAAAAAAGACTCACTTCATTTTTTTATTTCTCGTTTTATTGAGAAAGGACACAAGTGTGACCAAAAATTCCGATTTTTAACATCTTTCTCGTCATGCTTCTTTTTGGTCAAAAGGCCTACTAGTATTTTTTTAAGCATTCCACCCCTAGCAAGGCGCGAAGCCACTAGTACGCAGGGGGGTTATAGAGGATTTGGAGCGAGTGCAGGTAGGTATGATAGAGGAAAGGATGAGGAGAAGGATAGTGGATTGATCAAGCAACTGGAGATGTCGATTGACATTACATTTGAATAGTTGGAGATTATAGCTATCAGGGAAACAGGAATAGGGAAGTGAGTTCCACAGGCAAGAGGTGCGAGACATGAAGCTATTGGAGTAGAAGAGGCGACTAGATTTAACAGTTTCAACAGTGAAAGGGTGCGAGCGGGATGCCAGCCTCGTAGGACGCATGAATTCGCGAAGTCTGGGAACCAGCGAAAGCAGCTCATCGGAGCAATTACCATGAAAGTATTTTTTAAAAAAGACAGAGAGAGGCGACGGCACGTCTGTGAGAGAGCGACTGCAGGCGAGATGCCATATCAGGGCCAATTATATTGCATATCCGCCTCTGGAGCCTATTAAGAACCCTGAGGCAAACAGAAGGGGCTCAAGACCATATATGGCAGCAATACTCCATGGAAGGGCGAATGGTTGATTTGTAGATCTGGAGGATCGATTCCGGGGAGAAAAATTTCCCGGCGCGGCACAGGGAGCCAACTTTCCTTGCGGTTGATGAAGCAATTGACTCAATGTATTTGTTCCATCTCAGGTTAGTAGACAACGTGAGACCGAGCAATAAATATTAATATTCCTAATGTCAATATTATTATTTTCGTTGTTTTTTTTTTATTTCTCGAATTTCTTTCATCGACTTATAATGGTAATGGTAAATTTTCCGTATTAAGATTCTCGAAGGCATTGGCTGGTAGACGTAAATTTACACTGTTTAAAAAAAAAACAGGTATGTTTACTGATATACCTGTATCCATTAAATATAACGTTTAATGTAATAAGAAATGTATATATGTGTGTGTTAGATAGATAGATAGATAGATAGATAGATAGATAGATAGATACGTATGGATGGTTTCTGTGAGAAATCGTAAAAGTCGATGAAAAGTGCATTCTATATAGCAACGTTTAACGGAAGCGAACTTGTAGCGATCATCATCTTGAGAAAGTGCTGCTCTGTATGTAGCTGAACTAGAAGTGATCGCTCTACTATGATCTCCTCCTTAAGACGAAATGATTGACTGCTTCTTCAAAGTAAACCAGAAGGTAACAATGAATAAAAGCATCCGAAACATTCCATGCCCCATCTGTCAGTTAAATAGTGAACTCTTGAGGCTCAGCTGGCAGCCAGTCTAGGAGAAAGAAAACTTTCTAAATTGTGGAGAAGGCAACAGGAAACCACTTCGCTATCTTTCCAAAGACGCGAGGACATTTCACAGTTATGAAAGAAATGGAAGTTGTAGAGAATCATGACCGCTTACGTCCTGCAAGAACATGGAATTTTAAAAAGTTGTTATACCGTCAGGGTAACGTTACTTCACATTTATTACTACCATTCAAGTCCGTAATTTGGGGAAACCCATACAGGATCGAAGCCACTACACAGTAGTAATAGTATATTTGTTTCCACTTTGTTTAGTGCGACACAAGGTTACAAGTAAGTGCCTGAAGCAGTCAACCATGTAAATAATGAACTGATGCAAACACATATACATATATATACACACACAAGTATATGTGTGCGTGTGTGTATGTTTGTGCGTGTTAGTAGGATATAGAATTCGGACAAAAGTGGAATAATTAGATAATGTGAAAAAGCTTTTTATTGACAACGCGTTTCGCTTTCGTTAGATAGCAAACTGGCGGTTTTAATATTAAAAAAAAAGATAGATTTGTCTTTCATTCTGACCTGAAGAATCTTGCATAACGAAGTCGAAATGCGTTGTCAGTAAAAAATATTTCCGCAATACATACATTACACACACACACACACACACACACACACACATATATATATATATATATATATATATATATATATATATATATATATATATATATATATATGTATGTATGTATGTATGTGTGTGTGTGTGAAAAATATATAGAAAATAGGAAAGAACTCGTTAGGTAAATAATCCAAAGTTCTTTAGTATTTTTTGCTATTATTTTAAAAAAATAGTGCTCTGATACAAAGTAGAGCATAAATATAATTATTTATTTAAAAATTGAGAACTCTTATGTAGTGTGTTGGAATCATATTTTTGAATAAATAATTATATATATGTGTGTGTGTGTGTGTGTGTGTGTGTGTGTGTGTGTGTGTGTGTGTGTGTGTGTGTGTGTGTGTGAAAAATGTATATAAATATAAATAAATATATATATATATATAATTATTTCTATATTATACAGTGGTACTTATAGAAAAGCGCTCAATATCAGAGATAGAGCTAGCATATTTGGTTGGATAGATGTGAGATTTGTGACCCTTTGTTTCACGCTTTAGCGATCGTCAGACAAACTGATTATTTTTTTTTTTTAATTTTGGTTTATGTAGATTGCGTATATTGGTGTTATTATGGACTTGGTAGGGGAAACGTCGCCGTTGTGTCATCGTACTAACGCAAATTTCATATCCCATTTCGTTTCGGGCTCTTCACAAGTTCCTGTCTTTTGCTGCTGCTCTTGACCCTTTTTCAACCGCTTTTTTAATTTGAATTTATGTGTAAAATGAGAGACCTGGGAAACAGAAAGCATACACTTATGATTTAGACATAACTTAGAAGTGTGTTATAAGAAAATGGCTAAAAATGGCCCATATAATATTTTGAGTCTTTTCTGCTTCCACCTCGAGTTGTCGATACCTAAATATAGCATCACGATCCTAAAATTAAATCGAAGTCAATACACTTGTTTGTATGTGTGCTTGTGTACATACGTATGTGTGTATATCTGTGTTTGTTTGTTTTGCGTGTGGACCGGCTCAAGGGTTCACATCCATAGTTAGAATGATATTTAAATTTATCGCTTCATTTTCTCTTTTGGCATCAAACAACATCTTAACACTTTCTATCTCGTTCGTTTTAATTTTTTCGACTGCCCATTCATCTCTTTCCCCTGCTCTTTTTCTATCTTAACCATCCCTCACTTCTCTCTCTTTCTCTTCATTGCATCGTCTCTTTCTCACTCTTACTCTCTCTCTCTCTATCTCTCTACCTTTCCCCACTTTTCTGTCGCTCACTCTCACCTATAATTATTGTTCAGTTCCCTTGCCATTGCCATTAGATCGATCTATCTCATTCTATCTATATCTCTCTCACCCTCTCTCTATCTTAGTTTCTTCATATCTATCTATTTCAGTATGCCAATATCTATCTATCTATCTATCTATCTATCTATCTATCTATCTATCTATCAGCCCACTTCTTCAGTTGAGCCTAGCAGGCGATTACGATAGCTTGTGTCCTTCTGGTCGGCGTACGAGCACTAGCAAAAGCTCGGGTTTTGCATATTGATTTTTAAGGCAACAAAAAATTCTCTCTCGACTTGAAAGCTTAGTTCATCACCATTTTGAAATTCTCATTTCCCAATATTTGGCTCAGTGCCGATCTTAATTTAGATTAGTAAATATCTCTACATGACTTTGTTCACCTTCCTCTCTGCCTAATAGGATATATATATATATATATATATATATATATATATATATATATATATGTGTGTGTGTGTGTGTGTGTGTGTGTGTGTGTGTGTGTCCAGCCTATTCATATCTAAATCTTCTTTTTATATGCTATGCGATTCATGACGATCATGGCTCTCCACAACTTCGTATATTCCTTAGCTCTTAACATTGTCTTTCTATTTTGCCTGTTCTGTTACCCGTCCCGTTTTCACAGGCTCGTTAGGTACATTACTCACTGTTTCCTCCTCCCTCCTCTCTCTCTCTCTCTCTCTCTCTCTCTCTCTCTCTCTCTCTCTCATATACTTGTATTTACTCTCTTGTCAAATATTCTCTCTTCATTTTTTTCAATCTTTCTTTTCTTTTGGCTATTGGATTACTTATCATACAGTAGACACCAATCTTCTCTTTCTCTCGCTCTTTCATTCTCTCCCCCTTTCTCTTTGTGTGTGTTTCATCCCATTTCTCTTTCTCTGCTTCAATTTCCTCCTCCCTTCTTAATTTTCTCTCACGGTCTCTACCTTCCATTCTTTCTTTCGCTTTCGACTCCCCATTCCTCACACAGCAAACGCGCACAGCCAGACACGCGCATGCGCGTTCCGCAAACCATTTCCCAATCAACTTCTTTTCCCTTACTTTCCTCCTGCTATTTTTTAAAACTTCCTTCTCCAACTGCTTCTTCTTCCTCTTTCGTTCTTAAGATAGATTTTTTTTTTTTTGCAACTGATCGAATCGATACTTACTAGTATCTTATTTTTAACATCGAATCTGTTGACGGACCCGCCACCACCTCAACAAATATATTCCATCAGAATTCTACAAACAAACAAAAATAATCTTTAAAAAACAGACCGAAGGAAAAGGAAGCAGAGTGAAAATAGGGATCTGGTAACGAAAAAGAGGGTAGGTGGGTAAGGAAACAAAGAAAACGAACAATAGGAATATGGAAAAAAGCGAAAGGAAGGAAGAGGTGAAATAACGGTAGATGAGTGCATAGATAGATAGATAGATAGATAGATAGATAGATAGATAGATAATCTACGTACATTAAGATAGCTAACATATTTAGATGAGGACGGACCGAGATAGATAGATAGATAGATAGATAGATAGATAGATAGATAGATAGATCCTGCAACAAACGCAGGCATAGAAGAGATTGTTATGAATAAGGCAGAATAAACGTGTAGACAGATATATAAGTGTATATAAAGATAACATGTTATATGATCTTAAATTTAGAGCAATAGAAAGAACGATCAGAAGAGCGTTTTAATGTGGGTGTAGTAGCTCTATGGCACA